TAGTATTGAAAATATGATCATTTAGTGTTGTGGTGGAATGGGACACTTATTGAAGGGAGGTAGCAGTTAGTGTTATAAGCATCCCCACTGTGCAGATGCTAGCAATGGAGATGCTTGTAAACACTGTGTGCTAACAAGTACGGTGGTTCACGTTGCGAAAGTATGTGGATATGCAGAGCTGGAGAACGTGGTTAGTGTCGTTTGTTGAACGAGAGGTCAATTGGAATCACTACTGGAGGTAAGGTGGTGTTGGCGTAGCTACAGTAAGGTTCAATCAGGACCTACCTAAAGCGTAACCATTACTTTTAGCCGCATTCGTACGTTTTAAAAGTCGCAAACGTTATTGTGTGGAATGGGTTACAAAAGGGATCCCACCATTGGTCCCCATGCATCATGGTGGGGCGCCGGCCGACTGCCACCGACCACAACAGTACTCCTGCTGATTAGACTTGCCATTTTACTTAAGCTGATCGACACAGTTTCGTGTGCAATGTCGGCTCGGCAGTATTTCAACCAATTGAAAGCCGTACATGTTGCTACTGCGACAACAGCCTCGTCCAATCGGATTGTCGGAAAAATATACTGACCAATCCGAATTCAATCATTTGTCGGTCATCCAATCACGGGGCCGAATTTTGTCTGTTTTGTGTTGTGTCTGTCTTATACAGTGCTGGCAATAAGTTTAAGACCACCCCAAAATTTGTCGGTTATATTAGCACCATGCGATAACACGATTCCACTACTTGTTCAAGTGATTTAATGCGAAATTTAGCCTGGTAAGAACAACAAATATGTCCATTCTAGCATCCAAAATCACGCTATGATAAGATCAGATATTTTTGGCTGGCAATAAGTATAACACCATCACATGAAAAAAGCATTATTGCATATCGATTACCATCAAAATAGCTATCAATACTATGTTTTACCCCCCTTGAGTTCCAAGACACTGATACAACGCTTCTGCATCGACCACAACAGCTTTTCAATCAGGTCTTGCCCAATCTCATCCCACGCTTTCAAAATGGCCGCAATGGGGTCCGTTTTCGACGCAAATTGACGTCCCTGTGCATAGACAGCACGTGCAAGGATACCCCACATGTTTTCAATGGGATTTAAGTCCGGGGACTTCGCTGGCCACTCCATAACGCGTACGTTGTGCGCCTTCAAGAATTCCTTGGTCTCCTTGGATCCATGAATAGAGGCATTGTCTTGTTGGAAAATGCACTCGCGGCCAAAAAGGTAGTCGATGTAGGGGAACAGGTAGTCCGACAACTTCTCCACGTACGCAGCGCTATTTTGAGTGCCCTCCAATATGGCCAGAGTTGGCTTTCCCTTGGCACTAAATGGCCCCACACCATGACGCTGCCACCACCTGATTGCCGCTTGAAAAAAATCGCTTTTTCCTTGCGTAGGTCGTGCCAATATTACTTAAGGCCGTCAGGGCCATCAAGATTAAAAACATATTCGTCACTAAAGACGACATTGGCCCAATTATGGTCACCCCAGGTGACCTTTTCACATGCCCACAATTGACGGGCCTTCTTATGGTGTTCCGTGAGGGGTTGGCGACGCCATTGCCTTGATATACTTGAGGTGCTTTGACTTGTTGAGCAATTGACGTGCACGCCTGGCGTTAATCGTCAGCTGGCACTCGTCAACAAGCTCGCGTGAGCTCAGGAAGGAGTTGGAAGCAGTTCGAAGGAGGCGGCGCACGTCTTTTTCAGTTACTTTTGGTGGCCGTCCACTACGCTTGTTGGTATTGTAGGCCACTGGGTTGCTTAAAAACAAAGCAATAGCACTTCGAGAGCGACCTATAAGTCGTCCTA